CCACCCTCTCTATTAACCAGTTCCTTCCGACATAATATTATTCCGCACAATGAAGCGTGGGCGTTCAAGTCTGGCCTTAAGGGGCTTTCACACCGGGCCTTGCGTAGAGTTGCGTTGATTTGCGTAGAGTTGCGTAGCGACTACGCCGATCGTACGCAACCCTACGCCGATCGTACGCAACCCTACGCCGATCGTACGCAACCCTACGCAACTGTACGCGGAGGGACGCGAATGGGTACGCGAGATGAACGCAAAAAATTAAACATGTTTAATTTTTTTCGCGTACCTTCGGCGTAGACTTTACTACGCAACTGTACGCCAAGCCTACGCAACTGTACGCCAAGCCTACGCAACTGTACGCCAAGCCTACGCAAATGTACGCCAAGCCTACGCAACACTACGCTACCCTACGCCAGTCCGACGAAGCATTAAAAACGTATGGTATAAAGATTTTTTGGGGGACCTGGATGTAAACTTGGCAGATATTGATCATTGATCATTCTTGCTTGTTATTCTGTTTGTACCACTACAAAGTATTTCAGACTGACATGTTTTGTTTTGTTATGGTTTATTAAATTTGTGATAATTGACATCTCAGGCTGTTGATATAATAAACAGAGATAAGATTCATAAGCTGATGCCTCATGCGAAAATTTTATTATGTTTTGTGGAAATCTGTATGTATTTGTGTCGGTTTGTTTGCTTGTGTGTACGTTTGTGGTCCTGTTTGTATGTTTGTAATATGATTTTGTTTAATTGAAATGAGCAAAGAAATATTTTTTTTCTCACTCTGTTAATGAGACTGAGTGAGTGTGTATGTCAGAAGTATTTCTTTAAATTTAATAAATGACTAACATTTATATCATTACATTGTCACACACAAATACGCTACGGACCAAGGACAACAGATATCGTCTTCAAACTTTCAGGAAACTGTTATGGAATGATATATTACAAATGAGTGAAAAAAAGAGATATGGTCAACAAATATCAGACTTCTGTCCTCATTTATTCACAAATCAAAATAAGCGCTCTCTTTTGTTGGCGTTTTGAGTTATCAAATCACATCACGTGACCTTGCAATATTTATCAAAAGAAAGTTCATATATTACCCTTTTCAATGATACATAGTACAATAATGTAGTACATCAACAAAAATGTCTGCATTTTTTGGAAAATAAAATCTTGAACAAATTAACATTACTGCAAAATAACCTCAGCAGTTGCTAATACCTACTAAAAAAACTGAAAATTTAACGGTCAAAAACGTGTACCAAATGCCACTTTTTACTAGTAAAACTTATGGCAGGTTTATAAATGTTATTTTCTGCACTCACTATTTTACGCAAATTGGCGTTTCAGCCCTATTTCACACATGCAAAAGAGACCCACTGCCCCTTGGATGTCACAGTTTGTCAGAATGTTATGATTATACTAAGATCAAGTTATCTTCACATGTAATAACATGTACAATTCTTTGTACACTGCACAGTTCATTTATACAATAAATTGAACTGTCTTTTTAACATATTTTTTTTATTATATATGTTTATAAAGCGCCAATGGCTATACTCGCGGCTCCTACGAGCGTCTATTGCATTTTTACATGGCATTTTCTCCCACAGTAAGCAACCGTACGCAACCGTAAGCAACCCTACGCCAGGCCTACGCAACCGTAAGCAACCCTACGCCAGGCCTACGCCAAAGGTACGCGGTGCCTACGCACAGGGTACGTAACTATACGCCGATCGTACGCAAGCCTACGCATAACCTTCGCAGGGACTACGCCGAAGCATCAATTTATTCATGAGTACGCAGCTTAACTTCGGCGTAGTCGGTACGCAACACTACGCAACTCTACGCAGATCCGGTGTGAAAGGGGCTTTAGACGAGCTGGAACCTAGCGCATGCGCCATGCGCAAATCATTTGGCAATCTGAAAGCTAAGTTTCGTAAGAGGAACAATGAACCTGGCCGAGGGTAGGTCGTTGTCATTGTTAACTCCGACAATAGAAGATCGGAAGCGAGGTAGGGTATAGATCACTGACCTGTAAAGGTCAGTGGTATAGATTGCTTCAAGATAAACTGACGAACGGCATTGGTGATACTTGTATACTACATGTATATCGGGTTCAGATAACCCTGTTTATTCGGGGGGAGGGGGTCTTGTTGTTTTCCAGTTGTCGTTATTATTTTTGAAGGATTTTTATGGGATCACGTTCCGACGTACTCCTAAATAAAAATTGTTATTAAACATATAACGTAGAACCAGATTTTACCATATCTGAAATAATCATTCAAAGATATAACAATCATGCAAGATAAAGGAATGAACAAGAAGACGTGATGAAGCCAAATGTCACAGATGATTATGAGAAATTAGTGTTTCTCTCTCTTTTCCTCACTCCCTATCTCTCTTTCTTTCTTTCTCTCTCGCTCGCTTTATCAGCGCCAGTTTCCATCTTAATCTCTTGTACTGTTTTCTGTTCCGCTATTAGCTTTTATTCTGAAAGTATTCCTTTCGATCCTGAGATAAATTATATATTAATATTATACCACAACCTCGATATGGAGAAGATAAACACGGAACGAGCGCCTGATGATATCGAAATGAGAAGAATATTACTGTACAATAATTATAAAAATTAAATCTTTTGAATGTAAATCATGATTAAAAATAACAACAAAGAGGAAACCAGAGCGGGTGGAGGGATGACGAAGAGACAAATAGCATAATAATAGTTAACAATACGTCCAACTTTCTTTCTTTCTCTCTGTCGCTCGTTTTCTCAAAGTCATTTTCCATCTTCATCTCTCATAGTGTTTTCTGTTCCGTAATTTGTAATGAGATCGCATTTCGACGTACTCCTAAATAAAAATATCTGATCATAATTATCATACGTAGAACAAGATTTCACCCTTTCTGAAATATTCATTCAAATACATAACAATCATGGAAAGATAAGGAATAACTGTAAACACGTGATTTAGTAACAATGTCACATACGAAAAGATGACATGAGAAATTATTGTTTCTCTCTCTGTATGTCTCTCTCCCTCGCTCTCTTTCTCCCTCTATCGCTCTCTCTCTTTCTATCCCTCTTTCTTTATCTTCATCTCTCTCTCTGACCCTCACCTTTACTCTCTCCCTTCTTGATTCTATCTCTTCCTTCTTGATTCTCTCTCTCCGTCTCTCAATATGACTATCCGTTAATCTATCTGCCTTTATACCACCTAATAATGTCGAGCTATTCCAGGTTAAAAAGTAAAATAATATTTGTTAAATATATTATGTTCCTTATTTTGTATGCAGTTATTATTTTGTGTAATGTTTTGTTTACCATGTCCATTATAATCTCATGTTTTTATATCACAATCTAAATTTAAATCGTGCAATTCAGCCTGTGGGTTGCAATGTGATTTTTTTATAAATAGACTAAAATATACGGAAATTTGAAACTATTATCATTTTATTCATATAACAGATGTTCACAAAACCCATGGAATCGAATATCTGGTCAACAAACAAACTATTCAAACACATCGGACTAAACCAAATGGCTAATTCATGGAAAATGATGGAGAGGGGGCAGACGCAATGAAATTTGAACATCTCTTGTCCATATGGAGAAAAAAAAACGGACGTTTAAATGCTGAGAATTTATTGTATTGAATTACTTAGATTTATAATAAGGCATATGTCCAAAAACTCTTTGAAATACAATATGTGGTCAACAAAGAAATGATTCAGATATTTAAGAAATACCTTCAGGCCACTCAAAAAAAAAATTCGAGTACGAAAAAAAGAAAAGACAAAATGAAATGTGGGCTTAGTGTGTCCATCGAGAAACTGAACTGGACATATTATAACAATTATTTTTAAAAAACACTTTGATCCGTATTTACTACTTCATCTAAACCTGACTCTGAGTCTGTGATAATTTTTCAAATGAAAATTTAGATCTCAGACTAATTTCCTTTGTTAACTCGATTTTAAACAAAAGAAAAAAAGAAGAAGAAAAATTACGTTGACTGATTGATCAAAATAATAAATGGGCATTTCGGGTATATATTCAAGTCTCCTAAATCCTAGCGAACGATAGACCCCTAAAAGCCATCTAATGTATTAAAAATGATGTACCCATCGATATAACTATCAATTGAAGATGAAAATTAAGTTGTTTTTCTAGTTATTTTTGTGTATAGACAACAACTGTTGACAAGATGTTGTTTCAAGATCACGAGTACTACAGTAAAATTCCTTTCAACTTCATTCTGAGATTCATAAGATTTGTGGACGATTTCATGATTGTGGACATGGTGTGCCTGCGCTATCAGATTTATTTTAAACTGTAATCACGGGCATCAATGTAAAGTACAGTTAGACCATATTTTTCTAGATAAATATTTTCATTACTCGACGTCCTCTCCCGACATATGCATATATCCTTCTCATATCTCACATCCACTTCCATACTTTTTGTATTATACATTTGTACTATTCTCGCTCCCTCCCTCCGTGTGTATGTGTATGTCTGTCTCTCTTTCTCTCTCTCTCTCTAGTTTTCTCTCGCTCTTCACCCTTCCCTTTGTATCTGTCATCACTCTTTCTACCTCCCTCATTACCGCATATCACTCCCGGATATCACTCCTCTCTAAAAATTATTTCCACTTTAATAATTAGTATTTCCATATTAGGCATATATCCATATTCCATTTCATAACCTTACAGTTGTAAATTTCTTAATTTTCATTGTCAAGTTATCAAATTAAGAATTCCATTTTTGTTATGTAACCTTCAATAATTATAAAACAGTGGAATTTGCTATGGAGTACTAACATCTTATATTTCTATCATTACATGATGCACTAGATATTTACATTTGAAAACAGCAGTTAGGAAAGCATTATTCGATAAGAAAACAAATATATTCTCAAGATTAGAAATGTTCAAAGATCAATTCTTATCAGGGTGTCATCCCCAGCGACGCCAAGAGATGCTCACACTTCTTGCGAAAGGAATCTTATTCTAAATAAATTCTATACTTTCATTGTATCAAAACATGAAAACAAATCTCTAAAAACAAAAGGATTCATGCAAAAAATGTGTTGGGAAGTATGAAACTTTTACATCTTATTTTAGTTAAAGATGTGAGCATTTCTTTAGATAGAAGTTATTTAATGAAGTGCAATTGACAAAACTCCTCAAATCTAAACGCAATTGTGAACAATAATTCATTACACGATTCTTGGCGCACACGCAGGATCTTTAGAGTTGGTCGATACACTGATCAGGCGAAGATGATCCTGTGTGTAGTGTGATCGAACTACCAGAGCAATCGAAGCAAGATGCCTGTCCTTTCATTGGCTGAAAAGTGTCACGTGGACATTTGACGCAAGGTTGCAATCCAGAGTGTGAAAACTGGCCCTTGTGACACATGTCTAGGGTACAAGAAAAAGAAGGAAAAAAATTGTTTTAACATGCTGGTATGATATTTTATTGAACTAAAGGAGCACTGAATTAAAATATTAACTAATTATTTTACTTTACTCAAATGATGAAGACAGGGAGCAAGCGACGGCGTACAGACAAAATGGATGGAGCTGGTAAAAGCCCTATTGATGCAGTCAACCGATTGGAAGGGGAGAATCTGCACCCTATGGACGATACTTTCTGACGGGATATGGAGCACTCACTATGAACATGAATGACAAAGAAAACGGACAAAATATACAGTTCCTCAGGTAGACAAAGGAACATCCCTTCACTGCTATTATGTAAAAATGTGTAGAACAGGTGTTACATGCATATTCACCTTTTTACATAATAGCAGTGAAGGGATGTTTCTTTGTCTACCCGAGGAACTGTATATTTTGTCCGCTTTCTTTGTCCGTCATGTTCATAGTGACTGTGCCTTCAAAAGTACTACTCTTAAACTCGTCGGCGTATTCGCTTAGGCTGGTCCCTACCAAGATTTTCCTTTTTAAAATATTCTCGACATTCAATGAGACAATTATCATTTTGTACAAGTCATATGATATTGATACTTGATGGAAAAGTTAAATGACCCACTTTTGGGGGGAAATTGTCGGTATCAACATTTCATCAAAAGTAGGTTTGCAAAAGCTTGTCTGGATTTAATGGAAGGAAAACAAAAAGTATCCCGTGCTCCATAATATTGACCTTCGTTCCCTGGTTAAAGGGTCGATAAATGTCATCTGTTGAATATTTCATTACCTTTGCAATCACTTTTACTCCGACTTCCTTTAATCTCTGTTGATTGGCCCTCTGGACACTTTCGGCACGTGACCTGTGCTTGTTGATGTTGATAGTAACCATAGACACAAGGGGTACATTGTCCCCCTGATGTAGCCCTTTCATAGAAATAGCCGGTTGTGCAGGCGACTGCATGGAGAAGGTAACAGAGTTTATTTTTTATTTTGAAAAGAGTTGTCAGTTCAATGTTATCACAACCCAAAATACAAGATCAGCACTGGTGCTGGGGATGTTCTCCAAATCCGTGAAAATAAGAGTGAATTAAAAACAATCACTAACATAGACACAATTATATGAATAATTCATTAATAAATATCTAGTTTTATAAATTCTCATTTATTGAGAAATCATTGACACAATATAATCCATTGCTAATGTAATCGTTTGGAGCTAGTGAGCTGCCATGTGACTGTCTGTCGCATTATGTGAAAGTATAGCAACAATCAAACTATAATTGTGACTAATTTGAGCTAGGTTATTGAGGTATGATTGTTAAAAAGATGACTATTATATGTTTGTAATTATGTTAACTCTATATAAATTTTGGCCTGAATTCATGACAGTGATTAATCCTAACTCATGCTTTGAACCTCAAAAACCCTATAATACACGCTTGCCCTATGAGCAGGCAATTATTGCACTGGTTATTTACGCTTGGTTTAGACCATTGGGGAAAGTCAAACCTCTGTTGTAAATTCGACCCTTTGACAATGGAAATGGAAAGTGTGGTTTCCCTAAATTAACACTTACCCACATCCCCCTAATTCATACCGCGCACACCCTTCCTCAAAAAGAGACAATCATCGTTTGTATTTGCTTTAAGATCAATTCACACAAAGCATGTTTGAAATATCAGGTTATAATTTGTTTCTCTGAAATACAGAACTATTCAAACGTACCACATTTCAACGTCTCGTGGTCAGCGATGTAACCATCCTCGCATTGGATGACAGAGTACCCCGTGGTCAATGACAAGGAGGTCAGGTTGTGAAGGAGTCTGAATTGCTCTTTGATCTCTCGTGCCATAGACAACAACTTCCCCTCCAGTGCAAGACCCGAGTTATCTAGTATGTTCCGTATCGCAATATCCAGATAGACAGTGGTGGTGCCACCCTTATCCATGTCGTTGTTCTGGAACTTCTGTCGCATTGAGTCCAAATCCTTGTCGATCTCCTGATTGGCATTTCGCTTTCTCCGTCTCTGTATTTCCGAGCTGCGCTTTACCATACCGCGAGCAACGGCGCCTCCGCACCACACGGCCACGTTTTCGACCAGGCATTCGTTCTCCTTATCGCAAGCCTCCCTGAACATCGACCCGCGAAGGATGGTGATGAAGGCCTCTGCGATGTCCTCCGTGGTCACTGGACTTTCGCAAGTTCCTGTGTAGTACTGCAGGGCAGACGGGAGATTACTACGACGAGGGTCACGGGTCTCTAATGGAAGAAAAAGGAAAATGGTACATGTATGCTATCAATATCTTTTTTTCGTTACACTTTAATTTTTCTAATTATTATTTTCATTATTGCTACTGATAAAAAAAATGAGATTGTTAATTAACAGCTGGAACTAGGGGAATTTAGAGTTGAATATAATGATGCACGCAATTATCATTATACAAATTTGAGGCTCTTTGCAAAACCATAACTTGCCCTGATTAGACTCAGGCTCTATCAATTACTATAGGTCTTGCCTTCGGGTCGGATGCACACAGCAAAGACGACGGGTACGCGCAGGAAGGGAGGCTGGGCAGTCTAATTCACTTTTGTTTGCGATTTACCGTGCAAAATAAGTTGTTAGATATGACAATAGAATTGAGAGTCGTGAGATAGCTTCTCATTTAATGGGATGCTCTCTAACAAATATACCTAATTTTTATTTTAAAAAAAACAATATTTTTGACATCACCATCTAACATAACGATCACTCACGGGAACAGTCAGCAACGTATGCATGTGGAGTCCACAAACCAGAAGTACCGCAGACATAAAGCGTTGTAGGTTGGTGTAAAGAACTCGAACGTGGTATATCGAAGGACTCGTCGCACGACACACTACAATAGCGGCTGAACAGCCAAGTATCACACGACAAAGCCCCATGCTGGGGAGGGTGAAGTTCCGTGCATGGGAATGCTTGTTAAAAGAAAAGAGAAGTAAAAAAAAAAAAAGTTTTATCAAGTCCCTCCTTATTTAAACAAATATTAAACATTGCTGAATTAAGTAAGTTTAGTTCCTTTGGTTCATCTCTCGCTATTGCTTATTATTTTTGTATCAGTTACTCAAGAAGACTATGTCACTAAAAAAAATTCAATAAAAGTAAATAAATAAAGTAAAACAACATTATTGTGATTTAAAGTGTAATGAAAGCATGGCATCTCCTACATATTATTTCAGTTGTGTATAGCTGGCACCTGAAATAATGCAGAAGGACTTATATTTTTACAGCATCAGTACTTACGTACGATAATGATTATGAACTTGCACTCCTTCTGAAATGCATTATTCAAGTTTGTAGCTTTGTAGACAATTTCATTTTCTCCCCAGGGCAACGTCACCTGATTGGTGTCGTAGTTACACGTGATCAATACGTCATCCCCGGGAATATCCTGAACTATGGGCTCGTCCCACGTGACCAATGTCATCTGCTGGCTAGTTGTTATGTTCTGATCAGGAGGACAGTACACAAAGGTAGGTTCTACCAAATCTGAAGAAAACAACAAGGATCAAGAAAATTATATATGAAGTATTAAGACTTTTAAATGATATAACAAAAAATACAAGGGTTTGGTCGCAGTGTATGGTGTTTAATTATGTATTCTGTATTTTCTGACGTTTAATTCAGTGAAGCTACACGTACGCAACAAGCCCAGCTTTTAGATAATAGACTCACTTTTCATTTATGTATTTGATAGTTTACAGAACACTCTTTCATGTCATTATAACATTATACTATGATTCACAATTAATTTTGCTTGGAACATGAACAGAAGCAACCAATCAAACGAAGGTACTAGCATCTAGCGTTTTACGTTGATGACCCTGTCATGCGTTCTGACGTCACACTCACAACACCTCAACTTTGCCAGTGTTAAGTAACAAATCTGTCGGAAAAGGGTAGTCGAAATATGGAGGTCGCATTTCCATTTATAAAGTCGATGTTGTTCATGTTGAAATGTTACGTTGGCTACAGTGTGTCGATGTTACATTCGCTTGCTACAAATGCTAAATCTGTCTCGCAGAAAACTAGGATGTTGATGTCACACTTGCAATATTTTACTAGCTGTTCAACATTTTTTTAAAATCTATTACAATCTATTCAATCGTTTTATATCTGTCTTTGAGGACGGGTTATAACCTTTACTCGTGCCCTTTGGACAACGGAAAATTCACGGTGATTTTATTAATACTTATAATCCGCTATAACTTTATTAATTTCTAACTGACGATTATATCTTCTGTTAAAGGAATATTGTGAGTCACAAATCACCTTTATTTCGACTCTTAAGCCCTATCCGTTCATTACTGCGACACAATGGGAAGAATAATAGCACGAATGAAGAGAATCATGGAATATAAAACATCAAATCATTTTTTTAATTGACAAAATGACTAAAAACAGTGAATTTTGTGAGACAGTATAGAAATATGATGCTCCGTGATACTGTCTAGCAGAGACGGATACATGCACTATTCAAGAGGGCACCATCATCATGATCGTCATCACCGTCTTTACCACCGGGAATACTCTCGACAACCCGACTTTAATTCTACATTAAGGGCAAATGACGAGCTTGTTCATATCACAAAAGTTTGGGAAAAATCAGCTCGAGGATAATTACAATACCCTATTGTATTTGTCATGGAAGTGGTGTTCGGATTGCGAAAGGCATCAACATATTAATTCTTTGTTAAATTGCCTAAGGTTGATTTTTGAAAAAAATCGTTGCGATCTTGCTTGTGATACCTTTAATGTCGACGTCAAAGACACATGTAGCTTTATTCCCAGAGTCATCGACAAAGGTGTATCTGCATGCAGTATTGGAGGTGAAATTATAAGGGGATTCTAAATCAGCCGGGTCGGTCACGATTTCGAGATGAGGGTCGACCGTGTCGTGGGCTGTCGGAAGGTCAAAGGTGACTTCAACGCCCCAGTATTGAGTGCGAACCGTGTTGACGACACCAGGACAGAATGTGATCACTGGAGGTGTTTTATCTGCAAGACAAAAATCGGTTTAAATGCCTGTTGTACATATTATTCATCGATAATGTATTTTGGAGAAAATAATAGCAACATGTTACCTGATTTTTTTACAGATAGGGAACACAATTTCACAGGTTCTTTTTTTTTCCCTCCATTTTAACATCCCTGCCATACTGATAATCTATTGTTTTATTTATTTATTTGATTTATTCATTCGTTCGTGCGTTCGTTAGTTAGGTGTATTTATGTATGAATGCATTTATTTATCTATGTGGTTCTTTCTCTATTCTTTTGAGGCTGAATTCAATTGCTACAAAGTACTATATAGGAAGATAATTCTTCAGTCTTCACCTTTACACGTCATCGCTCCTGCATCTATCTGTCGATCCCACTGACCGTCTATGAGGCATGTCACAGTCGTGTCATTGCCGACCAAGCTCAGACCACCAGTACAGTAACACGTACAGACAGTACCAACCGCTACCCTGGCATCCAGAGAACAAGAGTCTGGATACACAGCCAGCATGGACGGTAATGCGACGGGAGGGCACCAGTTAGCTGTAGAATTTCCAAAGATAAATTAGTCATTGTCGATTTCGTGTAGTTATGTGACTTAACTACTTTACCATGATGCAATATTAAGATAAGTACAGAACTGCAATGAGCAGGTAAAAATTGTCTCAATGATGAACCTATACACAAGCATTTCCCATCTGATCACATAATATATAGCTCAATAATTTTGTCATACTTTTAATGGATGCTGAGGAGTTGGTGAAATTGTGTCCTCCAATGCTGTAATACTTCTGGAATTCCCACGTGAAATAGTGTGTATTACCTTACCTTGCAATCGTTTGGACATAAACTAATCCAAACCATGCAAAAGTGTAGCAAAAATCAATAATGACTTTGGGAGTGGGTATATATAATAAGAGTGACCTCTCCCAGTTCAAAAGGTTTATTTCATATTGGTTATTGTACCATTATGCTGACCAAACTGGTCAACAAATTCGAGGTACGAACCTTGGCAGTGCGGTTCCATGTCCCACATCCAATACATATCGGTGCCGTTAAATTCACAAGATGCCGAACTTGAACCGTTCAAGTGATAACCGAGGATACAGGTCACGTGACATGAAGAACCATAGACGGTGTCACATGATCCGTTCAGGGCGCCAAAAGCAGGTTGAACCAACGGTTTGCATTGTCGAACTACGGAGTAAGCAAGAAATCGAGTCCATCAAGTCGATGTACAGCCATTCAATAGTAGGGCCGACAATTTTTCATTTTCTTGTCCCCGAATATTCTTTCGATATAGGTCTACCTAAACATAATTAGATACCGACATATATAGGTGCACCATGGTCAGCGAGCATTTTTAATGTAACTAATTTTTCTTATCAATCAATCTTAATAATTTGGTCATAGATGATAAAGCGATACTTTGTTGTCCTAACCTTCTACGGTAACGATGAATGAACAATCTTCGGTGTAACCACTTCGATCAGCGGCTATACATGTCACCGGATGTTGACCCAAGGGCATACTGACATTCGAAGGATGGTCACATGATACTGTTGGACCAATAGCATCATTGTCTGTAGCAGCTACTGTCCACGAGACGAAGGCAGAAGTAGAACTGCGGCCAGGGTGCCTAACAAAGTCGTTCGGACACTGTGTGAAGACTGGTGGTTCTACATCTGAATCATAAAAAAGGATATTACTGGTTATACTACAGAAGGGTCGTTTATAACCATTGTAGTCTTAACGAATTGTAATATCTTTGAGGTAAGATCATTAATGGACAACATATGATTGACTTGCCCATTCCGGAAGACAACTTGGGGCTCGTGCTCTGGCAACAATCGCTCCAAGTTCATGACACTAGACCCTACACTGGCTAAATGCCTAACTAAACTAATCCTAATCCTCGACCGAACATAATACCTAGGGGTCAAGGAACTTTTTTTTTAAAATAAGAACCATTATTCATAAGGACCACTATCCATAACGCGTGACAAAATAAAACATCGATCCTTAATGAAAAGCGGCCCCTATAAATAGCGAGGAAACCATAGACAATTTACCTCGCTATTCATAAGGACCGCCATTAATAAGGAACCATATTCATCTAGACCGCTATCCATAACGCCTGACTAAATGAATAGCGATCGTTTATAAATAGCGGTCCTTATAAATAGCGAGCAGGCCCCATACCTAGACCAACCGTTGACCCAAAACCAACCTAAAACCAGGTCGAAGCGCTAGCTATAACCCTATATATTTTACAAAATAAACCCTAGGACAAATATCGCATGCTCATGACTATGTCTGATCATCAATTTGGTGAATGGAGGTTACCTTTGCATGATGTAGAGAGGATGTTCTTGTTCCACCTTTCATTACCCGAGCATGTTACACTTGATGAGCTCTGGGGATATACCTCAAAGCCTGATCTTGAGCATTGAAGGGTACAGGTATCACCGTATCTAGGATCCGTGGTACAAGAGCTAGGGGTAATGGTCATCCCTGATGGAGCACTTAGGGGTGAACAAGGGGTTCCTGGTATAGTTACAAAAGAAGGCTTAATAATGAATTCTAAATAAGGATATATTCTGATGCATCTTCGTTATCAAAGCTGACGTATAAAACTACCAATTCAACCATTACATATAACTACCTGTTTATTATTCAATACAAGTGATTCATCCATGCATCGTTTCACTAAAAACTAGTTAAACAAATGAACTGAAAGTTAGTATTGTAGTTTGTTTTGCATATGAAACAAGTATGCCTATGTTAAATCGTATATGTATTCTTAATTTTACTTTTGAAATGACTTAGGTTTCCTTCGTGAAAAGGTGGAGCAAAGAGGTAAAGGCCACATACATACTTCTCGTAACTTATCGATTCGTAGCTTATTTCCTACCCCTTTCTCTACTGTCCATCAGCTCAATTCGGCATTAAAGCAACAACAAAAACATGCCAAGTCCTTACGTTCACACGTAAAATTAGTACTGCTCCACTTTCCATTCTCGTCACATCTGGAGCGACTGTCCCCTATACCCCGGAATCCGTACGGGCATGTGAAGGTGCAAACTGTGTCATAGTCTTCTGTAAGCGGTGGGTTCTTGTCACAGCCGGCCTTAGCGGCAGGAGGTTGCAATCGGACAGCAACACAAGTTCGAACTATATTCGTATAAAGGAATTCAATTTAATGTAACGTTTAATTCCTTTCAGCATTTTGGCCTTCTCATTTTAACTACAAACTAAGTTTTAGAATAATGTGGTGCTTAACATGATTCATGCTGATTCTTATCCTCTTTTGTTCGTGTAAATAATCGTGCATGTTACTTTAAAACATGCAGTAAGGCAAAAAAAAGATAGAACTTTTTTTTCTCTAACAAAATCATGTCAAGTTATCATTGAATTTGTTTTATTCTTTACAGAAAATAATACCAGGTTTAACACATAAATCAACCACGTTATCCAGGCATAACATTATAATGTTGTGATGAAAAATCAAAGTAAAAACATTACTTTGACAAGTCGGTGAATGTTCGTTCCAAGTTGCGTTTGGTCCCATTCCTCCTTGCGTCAAATCACAGGTCAGTGTTTCACTTCCGATGAGGTCATAACCAATGTTACATCCAAAGGAACACGCGCTACCATAGAATAATTTGGAGCAATTTGTTACGAAGCCCTCTACTGGAGCCTTGGGCGTTGGACATCTGTAGACTGAAAAAGGAAAAAAGAGAGAAAGAGAATGAGGCTACGTAATGTATGATAACCTGATATTTTTATGCATTAGTTCTAACTAATAATTCCGTTCAACCATACCATGAAAAAATTACTCTTATTTGTATTTTGATCCGTAAAATTACTTGTTGACATGTTTAGGCCTAGGGTATATATATATATATATATGAGGATAAAAGAACTGACAATTTGCAACCAAAAAAAAGTTATGAAAATTATTGTTATTTTTTTTTTAGTAGTAATTTTTAAGTAACGATTATAAAACATAATTGCTTAACCTTTTAAGAAACCAACTATATTACGATTTAGGTTGGTTATTGTAGTATTTCGATCCACTTAGCAAAATAATCGATGACTTATCATATAATTTAACCTCCAAATCGTAAATTTCTTTATATCCAGTTACCATATAATTTCATAATGATTTCAACCATGTTCTTTATCTCCTTAAGTCAATTTTTACAAGTCACGCTTTTAACCATTCGTTTTAGCATGTTCGAAATATATTACACGTAAGTATTTATCTATGTCTGTATCAGTTTTTCCAATATTATGTACTATAATTACATGTTAGATACCCTGAGGAACTTAAACTTTCATTTGTAAACCTCGGTCCTGTGTTATTTATGGTCATTCTTTGTTTTAATGTTGAATACGTTTAACGTTTAATGTTTATAACAAAGATTACTTAATAAAGATATGTATACATATGTTCGGAATATATCAGAGGTGATAGACATGATCTCACATTTTAATACGAGCTACACTAGGGCTATTGAAATTGCCTAGAATGGTTAACATAGAAATCTTTGTAATCGTGTCAAACAAAAAATGAAGAATTCAGGGAATTACCATCATAACATTTCCTTTAAGCCCCGATTATTATATCTATCAGTTTTGCGAACTGTATGATAATGTACCGTTTCATTATCTTTTTACCTGTAACTGTCACGATGACGTCACATCTTGCTTCATTTCCTGAGGCATCCGAAGCAAGATAAGGAACGGTCGTTACACCCTCGTGAAAAATCGTATCTTTTGGTCCAATTCTGAATTCAAAGTTTATCCAAGAAAATCGTGAATATATAGATATATATATACCATAAATTAGATAGATACCAGTGTTAACACAAATTAGACTAGACTTCTGGGTCCTCCCGAGTTATTTTAATATTGAAACGATATGAATATCATGTTTACCCACGGTATAATGATGATACCATTGATATAAAACAGATAAATAATTACCATCCCTTTTGTGAAATCGTCTTTCGTTAATAATTTGTTCTAAAATTATTTTTACGTGTAGCTGATGCTTTTGCAGTACAACACGATTGTGCTGTATGCCGGTGTGTAAATGATGTCGTTTATATTACAAAACTTCCACACTGTTTTCTTAAAACCTTATAAATTAATTCAAATTCCACATGATGATCCCAGGATGGATTCCAAACAGAAAGAGATTCTTTTACTTTATGTTTTTTTTTTTCCCCATAAATTCTTGTCCATGGTGTGTGATTTTAAATGTCCAATACTTGCTCAGCGAGGGGATAGTGGAAGACGCGATATTCATCAAAACCGATTTTCTTTCCCTTCTTTTTTCATAATGGAACCCCCTAATTATCCTCCCATATAGTAACCCTCTCATTTGCCCCACTCAGCACCAACCTTGAGACGTTCACATTGCCAGAGTTATCCCGAGCTTCTGGCTGCACCAGGGTCACATTGGCATACGTCGTACCTCGCTGAGCATCCACCCTTACATGTACAGGACAGGGGGCACTAAAGATTGGATTTTGAATATCTGTGACCAACACAATGAAAATGGATTAATAATTTATATGCGCAAGTATTTTGGATTATTATTTTTTACATGAGAAAGGTATATTACCGGTGAACTTATAGTCGCTGACCTTTGACATATAACATCATAATTGCGTCAAATATTACTACTCGTATCCTACTTGGAAGAAATATGAGGAACCTGAAATTGAACACGATTCAACCTCATATAACAGGTTTGTGAGTATTGGAATCCTTATTCGTGCATAATTATGGGTCTTATGATTCTAGAAAATGTATTTATACAGTTTTCTAACCTCAACTAAGTTTCAGGGAAGTCAAGCTTCATATCATTGTTGGTGTCCCCCCCCCCCCCCTCCCCCCCCCCCCCCCTCCGCAGATTGCTTGTACACGTATATACACCCACACATGCAAGTATTGATCTTGTGAATTGACCGATGGCCACACTCCCTTCTCCATTCCAAGAAACCCGAAAATCAGCGAACGCCTTTGACTAACAATGATATATTTCTTTTTAAATGCTTTTCATTTCATTTCATTAATTTGTTATCCTTTATTAATTACATATATTGTTAGATAAGCTTAAATATCAACACTGAATATCATCAAAATATAAAAGTGTTAATGGCTGTCAAATATGTTTTGAACAAGATTGTTGTCACCTTCGCAGTAGGGTTGTCGTAGGTCGTTCCAACTGCCGTCAGGGTTACACCTGATGTTGCTCGGTCCATGTAAGAGGAAACCGCTACCACAGGAGTACTCGCACTCGGTATCGAACTTCATATCCGTGCTGTTAGAGCATTCAGGGGGTATCACGCGACCAAATTCCAATGAGAGTTGAGCAGGACACGTGATCACAACTATCAGCGGTAAGAAGATGGAAGGACCTTTGTGCTAAAAGTGTCGGTTGGGTGATGGCAGCAATAATATCTCATACATAATAGTAAAATGCTAAGGAACTTTAAGTTTTGGTTGTCATACATTGTAATTTTTTTTTTTAGAGATACCAATCGGTTTCAACTATTTAACCTGAAAAGAGGCGTGAACACGGTGGAGTCCCATTTAAAATTTAGACAGGGGTATAGAACGAGGAAACTGGTGTAAAATAAATATGAAGTAAAGAAACGAAAAGAAATAAATAGAGGACCGTTCATGAAAACACAATTTTTGAAAACAAAATTGTATAAAAAATATATATATATAAATAATAGAGAAATAAAGGGGGGGGTTCCGATTGAGATATCTACATAAAATACCTAATTAGAAAACAAAAAAATACTTATCGACAATAATCCTGCCCTTACCGCTGCAGTTAAAGTCACTACCGCCCCATGTTGATTCTGCCTGGCAGCTGCGGTTAACATGATCTACATCGATTAGAGTGGTATATCCTCGGTCACACTCGAACTCGCAGTTTGTACCGTATCCAACTGCTGTGGTGAGGCAGTCAGGGCTATGAACATTCATCACAGCGGGGAGAGTGCAGTTTTGGACTGGAATTCGAGATTCAAGGAATTATGAAATCAAATCAATCAAGGGCCATGATTACTTTGCATTTACGGTCAATCGATACGATAATGTAACCAATGGTTTGCTTAAATGTAATGATAGTTTTGTCTTCATTTTAAATAATGGACAGTTTTGTTATCACTTGTAATCATTTTGAAATATATTCCCTTAACTATTTACTTAGACAAGTTGGTTGATCAGCGTCCCAATATCCAACCAGATCAATTGAATTGTTGCGGAGACAGTTCCTGGAAAAGTTGCCATTCCCTGCGAAAAGCTGGTATCCGACGTCGCATCCATACACGCAGGATGATCCATAGACAGCGCCCCCTACGCAGTCTCCTCCTCCAGAACCTAGGTGAATACTGCCATGCTCAGGAACGGGTAGACCGGGGCATCTAATCACTTTTAGAAAGAACAGAACATCGTCCATGGTCATGTTTTCCGATTCTAAAATATATTTACGTAATGTTAATTTTTATTTTTTTAAACAAATGTGTTCATCAAACTTCTTTTGAAATCCTGTATGGCACACTGTCATATGGTCCATGTAGTCAGTACAGGTTAGCCTATAAACTATCTCGGATCATTTCTTCTGGCCCATTTAAATAAAATCAACCCAGCCCCGGATGATTTTATTTGCAAGCTTAGTTCCCATGAAGCATGAACAAGAATCAGATTGGAAAGCTGGTAGAGGAATAAATAAGTGTTAGAAATTTGTTTGCACTGATAAACTTAATGTTAAAGGTGTCAAACCATTTTTGAGAATCTTAACAAAATTATTCTTTTCATTTAAGCAACATTTAATTTCTATTGCTGTTAGTCCTTTCTTCATTGTTATAACTTGTTGAAGAGAGTTTCAGATAGCTTACCTCGTGTCGTCACAACAAATGAACAAGTCTGCTCATTCCCTGCAGAGTCGAAGACACCATAGGTGATCTGGTGGGCGCCCTCTACGAGGCTTGTGGGAGAGGTGGTCACTGGAACTGAACCTATACTCACTAGATTGGATTCAATCTCCAAATCACCATCAGTCGCCTATCGACAAATAATACAACATTAATGATATGGCACACTTAATTTAGGTCACATTAAACGAATGGACTTGATTATTAGTCAGCGACTTAATCTCTACATGGTCAGCGTTCGCGAAACAGACCGAAGTTCTCCTCACGCTACGGTTTCGCGTATGTTGGACGCACGTGATTGCTGCGGTCGCGACGTCCGTAGTCGTATTATACCCGATTGGTACCGAGTCAGGCAACGGGAAAGACATGTAGTCTTGTCAGTCTATACTCTCTTTAACATACAAGAACTAATATCCTCCATATGTCAAAAGTATACCGGTACAGGACGAAATATTTCCCTTAAAGCCCATCTGTACTAGTTTACTGGGGGATTAGAAGACCCTGCAAGGTCACTGACAGGTGGTTATCTCATCAAATCAGCTCTCACCAAACATAAGAAAAAGAGGATCATGGGGGACCAATGGTCACCGATTAGGCATTGTGTGCAATATAGAGGGCACAATGAGGCTTTAAATAGTGGTTATGTATTTACCATGAGTGGTTCCCATTCATCCCATGGCACGTTTCCGTAGACCGTCCCTTCCTCAGCAACTATGTCCCGATCTAATGGGCATGCCAGCACTGGTGGTGTTATGTCTGTCGGCAGAAAGAGTCAAATGTACTTTTTGTGAAAGATATCAAATAGGATTGGGCAACTGATCAATAAGCTAGGAAAGAAGTAGCGGATGTAGAGAAGGTAGGAATGTGAATATGATAGTACTATCCTATTTTCTTGTTAGGTTATATTTTGTAAAGGGGGACGTTATCACTGGCCTACGTACATAAACTTCACATTGCATTGATAAACCTATGCTCCGCACTTTGATCTGGAATTTACTGTACGTTGCTAAAGAAATCCAGTTACATTGGTTATTAGAGAAATGTTCATTATTCCATGTTGCCAATAGCTTCTATTATGCAAATTCAAAGAAAAACCAGAAGGGAAGGAGGGCAAAGGGTGACCGAAACGTTGAATCGGGGACATGTCTACGATATACTGGTCCCTGGTTGAACACTGCTTAATTCTACGTCCCTTTGGAAGAAATTATGTTTGATTTTAGCGTACCCGGACACCTACCCCTGGACATCCAACCCGGATAATGACCCCATTCAATTACCCCTAGGACAACTACCCCCTAGGGCAAACATCTTCTAGGACGACTACCCCCGGGACAACTACCCCCTAGGATAGTTGTCCGGGGGTAGGTGTCCTAGAGGATGGTTGTCTTAGGGGTAGTTGTCCGGGGGTAGTTGGCCGGGGATAGTTGGCCGGGGGTAGTTGTCCTAGGGGGTAACTGTCCTAGGGGGTAGTTTACTGGGGATGGTTAACTAGGGGTTGATGTCCAGGGGAAGTGCGCCGTTAGCTGTACAATTTCCACGGCAAACGCTTCGGCGGCATCTGCTCCACGGTCAAAATCCTTCACTAATCAAATTCGTACATTCAACCCTGTGCCAAACACTATAACCTTACACTTGATTATCCCAAATCCTAACCCTGCACCTTGGACTTATATCTAATCCCAATTGCAACTGTGAACTTAAAGCGTGTCTTTGACGAAGTGAAGCCAAGAGCGACTGTCGCCGCGGCACGCCAGAGCAATTATCGGCTCACTGCAGCCTATTTTCCTTATGGATCCTCTATGTCCATCAAGGTAAGATAAAGATACGAAGAACGTTACCCTCACAAATTGTATCAGCACCATCCCACGTTCCTGACGCAGTACACATCCTTGACGCAGAACCTGACGTCCAAGTGAAGCCATTGTTGCAGTGCATGCTGCAGACTGTGCCGTACTTTTGCTCCTTTGTGATATTTTGTGGTACGCCCCCGTATAAACATTCAGATATGCTCCCATTTCTTGGATTATCAAAAGCGGTGCACATCACGACTAAAAAAGACATAAATGAACAATTTGTCAGAAAAAATAGAGGTACGATCTTTTTATATCAATGCCGAAGGTTCAAGAATAGGAGAGAGTAAAGATAAAGGCGACAGAAGCTTTTCGTCAAACACTCACTCAATTTGGAACAAACCCCAAGATTGAACAGTAAGCTAGACAAGACGAAAATATTCAGTATGTATGTATTACTTGCTATTACGCGATTTTTTTAAAACCTACAATGTCTCTAAAGCCCAACATATACGTACAATACATTTTATTTTGTATGATTACGGTCGGAGATCTACTAAGTTTTAAGATTCTAATGATCTTGTATCATTTTTTATAATATCATTTTCCATATAATTAACTTGTATCTTTTATTTGTAAATTATTACTCTAAGAATTAAATTAGTTTAGTAATCATTTTTGCCACAACACGGATATAGCCAATGTTTACTCGACAAAGCGATAGAGTCGTCAAAAGCGGGTAGGTTAACTTAAAAATTCAATTTCCATTTGTTCCATATCCCATTTATTTCCCACTTTGGATGTTGCCATGGTTCACTCAATTATCTTAATTTTCGGCATTTCGGTGTAATAAATCACGATCAAATAAACTCCATATCCTACAATTCGTCGAAATAACTGTAATAGTGTATGTTATACAAACTTGTACAGGTCACTGGTCCGCCATCCCAAACTCCTGATCCCGTGCCATCATCATCACATGTTCGGTACACAGGCGAGTCGGGTAGGTAACCAATGTTACAAAAGAATGAACAAACCGTTCCATACGTTTCAACTGCGTTCGAGCACCCAGTCTTCACGCCATTAGCAGGGACTGGTATGTCGCTGCTCGTACAATTGACAGCTGTTAAAGTTAGATGGTGGACACGATTAGAACCTAGCAGGCTTTAGACATCTTCAATAATAAACAGCAACTATTTGTCTTATATTCTGTCGAACTTTAGGGGTTCTTAAATATTGAGGGATTTTATTTTTCTTCAAGTGAAGTCGAATAGCAGTTTAATTTTAAACCTCGTTCGGGAGCATAGCTTATAGATTTGAGTATTGACAAAGAACGTCAGCAATGAATTCAGATTTAATTCCTCAACCTCGAAATGGAAAATCAGCTAATGAACAAATATACAAGTCAATCTGGCCGAATTGACGTCTTTTCGAAATAGGACTGTAAGGGCAGAGGCTCCAAATCTCAAGTTGCATATTTCTAGTCGCATTGATATATATGTGATGTGATTAGAGTGGTTGTGGTGCCGTTTTCCTCCATGTGTTACCTTGTTTATAACATAGTAAAAATTTAGTTTAATAGGCATAGTTCCCGGCATAGTTCCCTGCTGTAAGCATCTCAGTCCTGTCTTTTAATAGTGGCCACCCAACTGTCTCTGGATAACCACCATCGCGATAATTATATACAGGTAGAAGAATTACCGGATGAGATGATTACCATTTACTTATTAAAGAGGAATGGGAGTTGTTCTAAGATACGCGTCCGACTTGATGGACATTTTTTATCAGGTAATTGCCAGATATTGGAAATTGTCTAATGTGGTAGTCCTTATGGCAGCTCGGTAGATACCATACAACCAGTTCCAACGTTGACAATTGGGAACACGGGACTGTAGCTCACCGTGACAGGTTGGGGCAGATTGGTTCCAGGATCCGTCACTCAGACAGGACAGGACTTGGTCCCCTTCAATGTAGTAACCACGTGAGCAGGTGAACGAACAGTGACTGCCATATGTGACCTCGCTCGTAACCGGGCACGACTGCGTAGAAGTCACCTGTAGACCTGTAGTCAATGTGGGCTTCGTGCAGTTGATGACTGGGAAATATGGTAATGTGAAGGTTTTTTTTACAGTTATATTTTCTTGGCTTTTTGTACTATTTCCAAATAAAAGTTTAAAACAGAGTATTGAATGTTCAGTTACAGAGCGACCAACAACTTTTTAATCACCTTTTTGTTTGGATTTCGTATTCAGATGACACTACGTGATTAATTGGAGTGAAACAATGATTAAACTCTGTTCTATTCTCATATGGTAAAGAAGAATTAAATATATATTACCTCTTAAATACGTTTAATTGTGGGTGTTTAATATGAAGCATTGAATAATCTCAAATTGTTTCTTTTAGTCCCGGCTAACAAAGAGTTTTGAAGATCAAATGGTACAAAACGTTTTACATTACAATGTTTCAAACATCGACCTACACCTAGTTTTAGGATGTAGACATACTAGAGCAAAACGGCATTTGTCCTTCCCAGTATGCCGTTGAACTTCCGGGTTGAGATGAGCATTTGATTTCATCATTGTTGATAACGTATCCCTCGTTGCAGTCGAAACGACAAGTTGAACCATAGTCGGTTGAGCATGTTCCAACAACCTTGCCATTCTGCGGAGCGATGACGTTGTAGCATTTCAGCGCTGAGCAAAGGTAAAACAATTTCAATATTTTTAAGAGATCCCCCGGTTTCTCTGAAAGTTATACTTTCATTATATGAAATATAGACAAGCATTTTTTTCTTCAGATCATAGTTTAATGAATAAATCGTCTGTGGACGAATAATAACATGATTCAGAATTCAACAAGGTGGTACAGTCTAGTTTCGAAACAACTGACAAAACTCTACTTTGACGCCAGCCTTACCCCTCGTCATTCTGTTGCATCGGCAATAAGATAATCTGCTTATTTCTAAATACTTACAGTCACAGGAAGGTACAGGATAACTCCAAGACCCGGAACTTCCGACCGACTGACATTGAGATGTATGTGAACCAGCAACTTCATAACCGGTATGGCAACTGAATGTGCACTTAGACCCGCGAATAGTGCCATCTGGACAACTCGTCAGGACGTCATTGCTGCCGGGGAGGGCGCTGCAATAAATGACTAAACAATTGATGAGAAAAATATTATGAGGAAATATGTACTCCAATATAATGCGAACAGCTTACTCCCGCACCACATACCCCCCCCCCCCCCCCCGCATATCCGGAAATGGGAAAATCGCGTCGACCGAAATTTCGCTGAGTCCACTGGGGGGGGGGGCAATATTTCTTTTCTTTTTTGCCCCCCCCCCCCGAAATTTGAAAATCGTTCCGTCCTTTATTTCGATCAGGGGGTGGGGGAGGGGAGGGGGTTAAGGAGCATTCAAAACAAAATTAATCAGCACACCCCCGCGTACGCTTTTATTCGTATTAAATCTTTATATGAATAGGTATAACCGGTACTTGCCTTCGACCGTTATGGTGTACGTGCAGGTCAAGGCCTTGTTACCAGCCCCATCCACGGCATCGTAAGCTATCGAAGTTATACCTCCTAGAAACGTGCTACCTGAAGCTGGCCCCAAGGTTCTCGTCGAAGTAATGGTCTGACCAGTAGTGTCGGACACACGAGGCTCGGTCCACCGAACGACCGCCGATGTCTTTAGGTCTTCAGCGTAAACCGTTTGTGAAGCTGGACATTCTACGAACGTTGGGGGCGTGACATCTGAAAGGGTGATGGCCAGAAATACCGTTATGGTGTGTGTAGTATAGACTTGTTGCACAATAAGCATTATTAGACTGCCGTAGGTCGGCATGAATGACTTTCGCGGTCTTTGACGCGCCATGTGATGTGATGGGGGTACCCCCTGGACCTCACCCCCGGATTACCACCCCCGTCATCTACCCCCTAGGAAAACTACCCCCTAGGAAACCCCTAGAGTAACCACCCGCTAGGACAACTCCCCCCGGACAACTATCCCTAGGACAAGTACCCCCGGACAACTACCACCCGGACAACTAATCCCAGACAACTACCCCTACGACAACCATCCTCTAGAACAATTCCCCCCCCCCCCGGACAACTAGTCTAGGGGGTAGTTGTCCGGGGGTAGTTGGCCTAGGGGTAGTTGTCCTAGGGGGTAGTTGACTGGGGGTTATTTATCCGGGGGTGGATGTTCAGGGGGTAAGTGTCCGGATACGGTGATGGGGAGATCGTGCCAAGAAAATAGTTGGAAAATGCAAAGTTTACATTACTATGTTGTCATTTAGTGGCGTATGGGTTGATTCGCTTTATAATAATAATAATAATAATAATAATAATAATAATAATAATAATAATAATAATAACGTTTTATTTATCCAGGGTAGCCACTTCAGTTATGAAACTGCTCTTCCAGAGGGCCCTGCATAACATAATATGTTACTACTACCCTTCTCCAATCTAATATGCTGAGCGCCTAGCTAGAAGGCAGAAGGTCCCATTTTTATAAGTCTTTGGTATGACTCGGTCGGGGTTCGAACCCACGACCTCCCGTTCATGAGGCGGGCGCTCTAACCACTGAACCACCATGCCTGGTTTAATGAGCGCAGATAATAGGGACTTTTAGATTTGCACATCGAAATAGTGGACTGCTACATGTGACGTCCTTTTAATGCACTGCCAGTGCCTTTAAAGCATGTCAGACGTAGCAGTCCACTATGTCGACGTGCAAATCTAAAAGTCCCTAATAACGCAATGGAGACAACGCTTCATGTGCAATAAACCTAAGTTAACTTTTGCAGATTTATCTTTTTGAAGAATAATAAACATATCATTTATTCAGACTTAGTCAGACTTGACAATCCTTGCCCTCCACAATTTGTTTACTCCGGCTTCAGCAAGGTTGTCAGGATACCTCAAGCATTTAAAACAGTTATTCGTGCCAGATATCCATTTACAAATCTACAGTATGTCAACAACGCGAAACACTTTTAAGTAGGCCCTTAAGTTTAAATGCAAATATAACAGGTTGACAATGGAACCATATAAAGATGGAATTCACTCGATTCAAGCTTTGAAGAAAAATAAAACTACCTTAATACATAGCAAATCCTCCGTTTTCAAATATTTGAACAAATTGAGTACTAAATTGTCTCATTCCCGGGAACCCCAACTGGTTCAAGGAGACAATGGGTTACACCGGTCATTGTCCACGCACATGACTGGAAGTGTGTTGAATCTGGGACATGTCAACACTGTCAAGCAAAAACGCACGGACCTTGGTGGGTAAAGTTTGTTTTTCTCACGGATATGCCGCACTCATATCCAAAGTCTTATATTATGTCAAACAACGTCAATCACAATACTTCTTTGTAAATTTGTATTTGGTTTTATTACATTGCTTGTAATGTCATTAAATATCTATCAATCATAGAATTTTTGACAGCACTTCCTCTTTCTCTTTCAAACATATGCTATGATTCCTGATATCCTCTACTTTTTTCTAAAAACTTCCTTGTGAAAACCATACTTATATTGTATATTCATACATTTGAACGTGAAACATTTTTGTAAATTTTTGCTTAGAAGGATGGCAGATATGTAATTGTACATACCGCTCCCTTATTTTCTTTTTCTGTTCTCATTATTTCTTTGAATAAAACCACTATTCTTTTATTGTTCTGAGTGTCATTTTAAGAATATTAACAGTAAGTTATGTGCATATCAATTATCAAAAAATATGTTAAATTCACGATTCCTTTTGGTAAACTGGAATCGCTATGGGCCTCTCATTTTAATTAGTGACAGAACTATTCCTGTCGAGTAAAACCATTAAATGGATATATAATACAGAAATTTAGATAAATATGTTATGGCTTATGGTTACTGTTATCTTATACGTAAAATTGACAATTCATTTGCACATATGTATATACATTATACAATATACTTAGATTTAAACGTTAAATAAAGTATAATTCAATTCAATTCAATTTCGGTTTTATTACAAATATACCGTATGAAATGCATTAAAAACAGTAGATTTAAAAATTCAGTAATAAGTTAGAGTACATTGCTCACATTGTTTCATATAAAAATGCATTAAAACTGTTGATTTTAAAAAATTCATTAATAACTTGAAGTACGAAAAAAAAACTAATGCATTAAGAGTAAGGGCTATAACCTAAGAAAAGCTAGAGAGGTTAATATACGGAGGGGTGGATTAGGGATATAATACTTTCACAGTTATTTCCTGTATTTTTTCAATCATAACAAAGTCTCTTATCATTTTTGTTATAAAAACATAATAACAAAGTAATTCGTAATCAATAATTCTCACAATGCATGTGATCAAAATATAACACAGTCATTTATTTCATGAATGCCCAAAACAAGAACAAGGGATGGCATTTTTTCAGAACAAAACTGAATATTTTTACAAATTTCGATTTTCTTATTTCTCAATGTGTAATTATACAGAATTGAAGCTATGAGTCGTTTTCCTTTATTTAAACACTACATCTACCCCGACCCTCCCCTCACTTCCCTTTTCTATGAATTTTCGAACCTTGAATTTTACATGTTTGAATTGATCCTCTTTAATCTGGTTTCTCACAAATTTGATTGATATAATGTACTTACCTTGACAATTGGCTGTAGTTCCAGACCATCCTGAGGACGTACATGTCTTTTGAGAGCTACCTGATGTACGTGTGTAACCGGTATGACAGGTGTACGTACAGACGCTGGCAAAGAAGCTCGAATCAGTACAAGAGATCAAACAGTTGGGAGGACTGGTCAGGGTTGGCGAACAAGTGATTCCTTGAATTATAACAAAAGATTATCAAGAAACAAAGATTTCACTAACCGTTTCACATCGGAGTTGTAGATTTTTTGCAATTTTCGTCTAAAGGAGAAGAGATCGGATGGTACTACTTAATTAATATAGACATTTTGTAACACCTTAGTCTTCTTACAGAAGAATTTATATTTGTCAACATCGTGCACAACCTACTCGGCTGATAATCTACCTAAAAGCCCTGAAAGAGTATCTAAATAGGGAAATTCGAATTGTTGACCCACTGTCCGACGATCCTTTGGTCGTAAACATTATATCTAGACTGCAGGCAAGCCCATCAGATGGGGAATATGTCGTATGGTGGGCTTCCGACCTTGTGAACATCCTATTTACTGGAGGACAATTGTTTTTATTGTAACCTACCCTTTGACATAATCGTTAAATTTCAAAATGTTGACAAATTCAATTTGTTTGTGTTTTTGTTAAATGTGATAACTGCACATACATGTTAAGGTCATTCATCTAAACATTCTAGAGTTCAAGCTTTTGAAACGGAGCAGACTTTGCCTTACTGGTGCACGATACTGTTGAGCCTGACCATGAACCCGAGTTGCCAGACCGTACGCAGGTCCTTGATGTAGAACCGCTCAGAAGATAACCCGTGTTGCATGAGCTTTGACAGACCGAACCAACGGATCTTCCATTCGTGCAACTCACAATACCATTGGTGGGTCGGCTGAGGGTTCCACACCGTAAGACTGCGGAAAAGCAGGTGAAAGGTTTATGAGCCAAACCTGGCAGAAAATTTATATGAATATTCTCCATTAATCAAAGAAAGATTAATTGGAGGTGAAAATATGATAGTTGGACCAGTGCTTCGAAATACGTCTTCACTAAAAAAGAATCAAATATGTTTATTTCAAATCCTAAGTATACGATTTATATAGATTGAAAGTCAAATACCATGTTATCTATAATTGATTAACTAGTTTTGGCTTTAATCGCACAGTTTTCGACAAGACACACTTGGTAGGCGAGAATGAAAGACATTCTATTGGATTTATTTTATCCAATAGATTGGTCCAATTTCATGAGCGATAACGTATTTCGTTCCCTGGGGAGGTGAATCTTACTCAATGAAAGTTTCATATTGGATGTTTTATCATCTGGTGGAAGACGTGCGATAAACTCCAATAATATGCGGTATTATTTCACTTTTCACCTGATTCCAAAATGTTTATAAGGTCATCCCTGTCCAACCTTACCGTTTGGTCAATGGACTTCACTTTAATTAAATTATAATAAAGATGTGACACAAAATCCTAGGTCCTCTGTGTGCAT